CTGGCGCCCCCCAGCCTGGCTGCCCCCATGGCACGGGGCAGCCAGCACGGATCGGCTGGGGGGAGTGACTCAGAGACCAAGCACTTGGGCGGGGGGAGGTGTGTGGGGAGAGATTCATTCATAGCGTCCAGGGCCAGAAGGGGCCACAGTGATCAGCCAGGCCAGGCAGCTGCCCTGAATTAGTCCCTCTGTGCACTGCGGCAGACAGACAGATGGAGAGAGAGAGGTGGACAGAGAGGGTGTGTATGTGGGTCTGTGTGGGATAAATAGACAGACAGATAGATGGGGGTGTGTATGGGGATAGACAGAAAGATAAGATAGATGAGGATGTGTATGGTATTGAGAGAGAGAGAGAAAGAGCGTATGGGGATATCTGGACCAGTCAGCGTATGGGGACTGCTGCACCGGACAGCATATGGGGATAGATGGACCGGTCAGTGTATGGGGATAGATGGACTGGTCAGCGTATGGGGATAGATGGACTGGTCAGCGTATGGGGATAGATGGACTGGTCAGCGTATGGGGATAGATGGACTGGTCAGCGTATGGGGATAGATGGACTGGTCAGCGTATGGGGATAGATGGACTGGTCAGCGTATGGGGATAGATGGACTGGTCAGCGTATGGGGATAGATGGACTGGTCAGCGTATGGGGATAGATGGACTGGTCAGCGTATGGGGATAGATGGACTGGTCAGCGTATGGGGATAGATGGACTGGTCAGCGTATGGGGATAGATGGACTGGTCAGCGTATGGGGATAGATGGACTGGTCAGCGTATGGGGATAGATGGACTGGTCAGCGTATGGGGATAGATGGACTGGTCAGCGTATGGGGATAGATGGACTGGTCAGCGTATGGGGATAGATGGACTGGTCAGCGTATGGGGATAGATGGACTGGTCAGCGTATGGGGATAGATGGACTGGTCAGCGTATGGGGATAGATGGACTGGTCAGCGTATGGGGATAGATGGACTGGTCAGCGTATGGGGATAGATGGACTGGTCAGCGTATGGGGATAGATGGACTGGTCAGCGTATGGGGATAGATGGACTGGTCAGCGTATGGGGATAGATGGACTGGTCAGCGTATGGGGATAGATGGACTGGTCAGCGTATGGGGATAGATGGACTGGTCAGCGTATGGGGATATCTGGACCGGTCAGCGTATGGGGACTGCTGGACCGGTCAGTAGCTCTCATTACTCTGGGCTGGGGGGTCAGTCACAGCAGATTGAGGCTCTGGTGAGATGTCCAAACAGCAAGGGCAGGGGCTCCGTCTCTCCCACCCCATGCCCACAGGTGACCCCCATTGGAGGCCCTGGGGGTCCAGCTCAGCCAATCCCCACCCCCTCCCTGTCTCCTCTCCTCCCTGCTCGGCTGGGCCGTGTCCCCACCGCCGGGATGTCCCGGTGGGAGTGTGGGGGGGCGATTAGTGATTAATCCGTGCAGGGCGGGCGGGTCCCCCAGGGGCTGCCTGTCGGCCGGGGCTGCGTGGGCGCCGTGTTTGCCAAGCAAACTGTCCCTGCGGTCGTGACCCGGGCCCGGAGGGAGCTGGGGACAAAGGTCCCGCGGCGGCGAGAGGCGACGTGGAGGGCTCGGGATGGAGGGGGCTGTTCCCCCCGTCTGGAGGGGAGATGCCCAGGGCTTTGGGGGCAGTGGGGAGAGCCCGGCTCCCCCCCACCCCTGCCTGGGGCTGCAAGACAATCACAGGCAAAGGACTTGGAGGCTGGCAGCGGCAGGGGGGGGGGCGGGGGGGGGGGGGACCCGGT